AGGTGACATATGAATATAAAAATTCTTTTTTTTTTTTTTATTAAAAAAAGACCCAACACATTTTTTCACAGTTTTGGTAATGGTGTACAAAATTAGTGTAGCTAACAGAAATTAATAATACATTATTTTATTTGTCCTGATTTATATGGATTTTTAGGATTTTAAGAATGTGGTATGTTCTCTCCTAACTTTAATAGCCTCCTCACACTATATATTTTGTTTTTATTAAATGTATTTTTAAAAACTGACTTTTTTTTTTTTTTTTTTTACTTTTTCCGTTTTTTAAACCGTTTAAAACTCTATGGAGCACTAGAGAGTTATTTTTTATTTACAGGGGCTTTGAAAACGTACTACTCTGAGGAGACACTGCATTCTCCTCAGAGATAGTTTGCATCACTTTTTAGCACACTGATCCGACTTGCAGCTCCACAATACAGTGAGCTGCAGGCCGGATCAGTGGCTGCAACAGGACTGTGATCACTGCAATTGGCTATCGTAGTGATCACAGTGCTGGGACCCCCTGATTTGCTGTTGAGGGTCTGTCTTGGACACTGAGGGACACAGCAACAGCACAAACCCATGAGCCCTGGTCCCGCCAGGGACCAGTGCTCATTTTCCTGCATAATGGATTAATTCCGTCACCGGTCTTTAAGTATTTAAAAGATTTTAATGCAATAATTCCATCATTGGTCGAGAAGAGGTTAAGCTTACATCCACAGTTGAAGAATACATTTAACATCAAATCTAACACATTCACACTGAGATGAATGTAGTCAAAAATGAGAGGAACTTCGCCTGATCTGGCTGATACAAACCATCATGTCTAGAAGTGGTGGCTTTCTATCAGTCTTACAAGAATTAGCTATAGGCCAGGATGATTGTTCGTGGCTTCTTGATTTTGATTCAGTAGTTTCTGGCCATTTATCACCTTCTGCTACTGACATTAACTCTCTGCATACGCAGGAGACACAGGCACAATGGTTCTGTATAGGCGATCATTAGTTGGTCAGGAAATCTGATGGACATATAAAGTCTATGGCTCCAATTCAGTATTTACTTGCACTACAATCTCACTATTTAGATCTGAAAAAACAAGTGTACTTTTCGTACATTTGTCCTCATTAGGCTTTAATGCCCTCAACTGCAACCCCTTCAGAGTCTCATACTTGCCTGTCCCTGACCCACTAAGATCTTCCCTGAGCTTGCACAACCTTTCTTCAAATTCTGCTCCTCCCCTGCAAGTGTGCCACAACATTCATTTATTCCTATGGAAATGGTGTCCAATTCTTATACAAGGATAGGTAAGTGACTTGGAAGGGGTGCAGAGCCTAATAAGGATAACTGTACTATAAGTAGCTTTGTCCTTTAATAGTCCACATTTCACCTCTGAAACTGGGCAGAAAATATGAGGAGAAAAATGGCACGTGCTTGTGGCACTATGGTAGTACTTTGCGAGATTGTAAGCACAGGTCTAATCTATACTAACAATTAGAAAAAAGTCGGTTACCATGGCCCCCAATAAAACTTTTGCATTTCAAAATGGCAATGTTTTGAATGCATGCATTATTGTCATGTATTTTTATTACACATTCTTGTGTGCTTTGCTGCAAATCAAAACACAACTCAATAGAAATGAATGCATGTTTTTTTTTTATGGAAAGATGTGAATTGGGCCTTAAGGTTTCTACTCTCTCACACAGTTTCCCATATTCAGTGTCCTGAATAATATTTTGTTGAAAAACAAGTAATTGTATTATTACCTCTTTTGCATTTCTTTTCCATTTGCTTGAATACACCAAGACGTCATGTCTAGAGTGAGAGGTTTTCACTGAAGTAAACATGTACCTTTCACACTTCTGTTTTGAATTCAACAGAGACAAAGCCACTTTAGTGGGTAATCCAAGCGGGTTTGGATTATTAGAGCCGATAGTCCAGGAAGCATAGGCAGATGTCTTTTGGTCAGTCTGTGGAAGATGGATTGGCTTCCTTTTCAGCAGGTAACACCATGTAAAACTTGTTGAGGTCTTCAGGCTTGGAAAAGACAGCCTATGCATATCTCCTGCATTTACCACTGATATTGCTGCAGCAAGTTTTATTTGGCCTTGAATATTAACTGCTTTAGAATTAACAAGTGATCTCTCTTGACTACTGTATGTGTGTTTCAAGGAACATGCCTGAGTGCTGGAGGAAGGTTCTGGTGACATTCTTACATTAGGACCAGAAAGATCAGGAGATTTATTTTTTTCACATTCTATAGTGTCTTTTACATCAGAAATGGGTTTTACAGAGGAATGGAAGCTGGTGATCTGTGACCCCAAAGACTGATCTTCAGGATTATACTTCCTAGGAGTAACATCCCGATCCAAGCTATCACCTGGGTCTGTAGTGCAAAACTGTCTTACTAGCATTGGCTTTCTTTGTTTACCAGGCTCTATAGCATTCATGCTCATCAAATGCACTTGTTGACCACTGGTATTACTTGCAGCCCCACTTTCATCCTTTACACGCTTTTGCTGTTTTTCCATAGCAATATCAAGGCTGTTGGCTGGTGAAAGCATTCGCTTGCTTGAGGCTGAGGTCTCTTGCTGAGGGACTAAGCCAGCTACTAGAGCTTTCTGAGGTGCAGATCGTGGAAGACAACTTTCTGAACTTTTTGGAGAGCTTACAGGGAGTCTGCCTGGTTCCTCATTAGGCTTTGGCATCTGTATTGGTTCCCTATTATCCATTGCAGTACCTGAACTGGCTTTAAAAGCCGTTTGATTCCCATGGTCTTGTGTTACTAAAATCTCAGGGAGAGAAGTAATTGCAGGAAACCCGTAATATAGAGAATTGCTGTAGTTATGAACCGGGACGACTACTGAATGTGTGGTTGGTAAATTACAATACAATTTGCCTTGTTTTTGCATGGTCATACATATACTGGGTCTATTGTCTGTAGTATCAGTCTTTAAGTTCCAAGATGTGCTGCTAAGTCTAGTGCCTTCAGAAGAGCTATTTGGCAAAATCATTGCAATTGGTTTAGCAGCAGCACAAAACTGGTTTTCTTGGATTTTCGGACATTCAAGTTGATATTTTGGAGCAAAACTCATTTTTATTTCATCCTTTTTGGGAGACACATACTTCTCTTTTCCATCACTTTGCAACATGCTTAGCATTCCAATAGGAAAATCCTTCTTAAATACGTTAGTATTAGTTGCATTTATTGAAACAATTTCAGTGTGTAGAGCAAGCTTCGAGTTTTCAGCTGAAATTTTTTTTTCAGCCACAACTTTTTGCTTTGAGGATTCTTTTGGGCACACTGTGAATTCGATTAATGATCTGTTTCCTGTATGCAAGCTTTGCTGTGACAACACAGGCGTTTCTGACTGATGGACATTGGGTTTAGAAGTAGAGACACCTGTTTCTGCAATATTTAAAGATATCTGCTTTACAAGCGGTCCTCTCCTCCTCTCTAATAGGGGAATATGTCCAGTGCTTGTTCTACACACAAAAGATGATCTTGAAGTCATGATATTTGTTGGTGACATAGATCTAGATCTAGACATACTTCCACAGTCAAATGATTTACTTCTGTAGTCTAAGACTTCCATAGAAGGTTGTGTGCAGTTTATTTGCTCAGATGCAGCTCTCCTCATTTCTCTGGAAACACCAAATGCATTTAAACCTGTTGGGATTGTAAGAAACTCTGAAGATTTGTTTATGCTATCCGTTTTTGAAAAACTCTCAGTTTTCGAAGTCTCTTCTTTGTCAAATGAAGCCGAAAAACTTGAGGCACGGGATAAACTGCTCTCTCGGCTCAGGCTTCTTGAATAGGTGGACTCAAAGCTCGATTCTCCAGATGAGTTATCAAGATCAGCCAAACGAATTCTTTTCTTTTTGGGAGGGAGTTTTTCAGTAGGCAAACTGGAAAGACTTCCACTGCGTTGTGGCCAGCTAAATTTTTCTTGAAGTTCTTGTTCATTCCCTTGAGTCTCTGCATCTTTATCTGGTTCTTCTGTAACCAATATCTCTGGAACCTGAATGTTATGTTGGCGGACCAGACGAGATTGAGGCGCTAATGCTGTTCTTTCTGTAAGTGCACTTTGTTGGCTTTCATGGACTTCTGTTTTCAAGGTGTCAACGGATGCACCCAAGGAGCTAAGAGAGGCATGACGGGGTTTATCGTCTTGAATAATATTACCTGTATTCATAGGATTCTTTGCTTTACTCTTCTGATGTTCATAAAGTGGTACAGGTGAAACTCTTTCAACAGATTCTGATTTCTCAAATGAGTTAGGTCTGCTCAATGAATTTGTATGCTGAATTACAGAAATACCAGTTCCCTGACATTTGAGTTCCACCTTTTCTGTCAAAATGAAGTTTGTGTTTTTGTCTACTCCAAGCATCTTTACATCAATATTCGTTTCTGTGTTTCTTGCTACCAACTGTATTTGAGGATTTGAAACTGTACACGATTGTGAGCCTAAAACTGTGATAGTAGAGGAGGGTTTTGTGCTGGCTAAACTTTTAAGAGGTTCCATATTTTCAGGAATTGGACGACATTCACTTTGTTGGGGTTCATCATCATCACCTACACTTTTCATCTTTCTTCGTTTCCTGATAAGCAGTGGCTGTTCCAAATTTCCAGTTGCAGTAGCAACTCTATAATGTAGCATTTGAGGCTGAGAAATAGTTGAAGTTGTGCTATGCTCAGTTTCTCGAGCTACTGTTTTGCTCTTTGGTCCGTGTAACTCAGAACAGTAAAACTTTTTGTGATTTTCAAAATTCTCCAATTTCCTGTACCTATTTCTACATGTTTCACATTCAAACATTGTACCACGACCCTGATGTGTTTTTTTTATTTTGTCTAAACTGGACCCTTGCACAAAAGATTTACTTCTAGGCAGCAAGGCATCCTGCAATGATTTACTTGAAGGATAACTTTCATCAACAGACCGAGCAGGTCCAAGGCCATAATGTTCAGTGGTTGATGCGTCTTCAACAGCAGCCTGTCTAACAAGCGTACGAGGGTGAACAGTTTGCTGGGGCATAGGTGGTCCTGAAACAAACACATCATCATAAAGTGTACCTATTTTGTCATCAAATGACTGGCTTCCTCTGAGTGGATGGGGCGCTGGAATTACAGGGGGGATAGCTGAATACCCTGTTGTGGGCATTGAATTACTTCTTGTAATTGGTAAACAGTCAATGGAAGGGTATTGTGAAGGAACAGAAAGAAAAAAAACTTGTTTGGATTTGTCAGTTGGTGTGAAAGGGGACTTTGGTATGTCAGAACTGGAGCTCGTACGTCTTCCGGGTGGTTTCAGATCAAACTGGAAGGAATCTTTAAATATATAAGACTTTGGTGAATCGATGCTGCCTCTTCTTGACAATGAGGTTCTTCTCGGCTTTACACTATCTAGCTGTTTGTCATCAACCAATGCTTCGTTATCTGAAATTAATTTTGAAATACGCTCTTCAAGCGTTCTTGTTCCCAACGGAGGCCGCATTATTCCTTCAGCAAGAGGTGCTTTCTCAACACATACTGATTGTACCACAATTGTCCCTTGAATAGCTGGGTGTGCTAAAGAACTTAAATTTTTCAGATCTTTTTCAATTGAGGGCAAAAGTTTCATGAAAGGTGATGGTGAAGTCATAGCTTGATCTGCACTCTCTGACCTGGAGAAATAACCAGAGTCTGTGCTCCCTAAGCTTCTAGGACTTAACAGACATTTACTCTGCTGCTCCTGGGAGCAATCTGTAGCTTGCTGTCTTTGCAGCTGTGCATGTGGAGTTATATTTGTTGGCTGTATGCTTTCAACTTCAACTAGTTCACACATTTTATGAGATGATTGCTCTAATTCGCTTAATGAGAACATTCGCAACACATTTAAAGTCTTATTTTTTGTTTTTAATTCTGGCATTTGTGCTACAAAATGTTCAGAAGTAGATTCTAAAACTTTTGGGCTATCTGCTCTCAATGGAGAAACACTGACTGGATAAACAACAACTTTAGGTAATTCTGTCAGTTTTGCCTCTATTCGGTGGTCAGAACTGTCTTGCAACATTGCAACGGGGCTGTTTGAGGAAGACCTTCCTTCTTTCTGTGAAATGCTGTCAGATACCGATGCCATTTTTACATTTTCTGGGAATTCCATGCTTGAAAGGCTTTGATCTTCTTGCCTTTCTTCTGAAGTATACTCGTCATCACTTTCTCCACTTTCATCTGCATCCGAACTAATAAAAAGTGCTTTTTCAGAATCCTGTGAAAGGAGCATGCCACCAGAATCTGTCTGCAGGCCTAGTCCAAGTTTAATGGCATGTGCATGAGACTTTTTGTGCTTGTACAAATTACTTTTTGTTTTGAAAGAAAATCCACAAGTCACACAAGGATATGGACGTTCCCCAGTATGTGATCGAATGTGCTTTAGGAGAACACTGGGTTTTGCACATGCCCTATTACAATATTCACATATGTATTTACCTTGTTTCTTGGGTTTTTGATCCTTCAAAACAATATTGCACATTTGCTCCCCAGTGATAAGTGAGGCAACTTGGGTTACACTGTATGTTGAGGTTAAAGACAGTTTTGAAGGATTAGATAAAGAATTTACTGGCAGCGAAAGAACCTGAGTTACCGTATTAGTTGAAGAACTAACTAGGGAAGAAGTTACAGCTACATGATAAACTTGTTGATGTTTAGTTACGTCCAGAGCACTGGAGTACACTGGACAGGCAGCAGGTATTTGCATCTCACACTGTTCTTCTTTAATACCTAAATGGCCCTGGGTATGTGGAGAGTGTTTCATTGACATGCAATGCTGACCACTCTGAGGTCCATGACGATAATTTGAATATCTAGCACTTGATTCCCTTTCAGAAGAGGAGGATGGACTTGAAGTTATGTATGTTACTGAAGGTGCTGGACTGCTATTATGCCCCTGCTTTTCTGTTTGAGTGCCACAAGGTGCCCGAGACTGGTTTAAAGTGTTGAGTTCAGGCTCCATTGCTTTTAATAAAACATCGAAAGCTGAATTTGCACATAAATACTGCTTATTGGTGTTCTCTGAGTTACTGTTTGAACTTTTCTGACTAACTGGTAATGTACAAGAAGCGCTATTTTCTTTTAATAAAGTCATTTTGCCACCAAAATCAAAGCCTTCAGTTCTCCCGTTGCATAAGTCTGGTGGAACAGACAGTTTTCTAGCCTGCATTGACACCCCAGACTTCGTAGATGGTCCAGTTAGCTCAGAATTTACACCTTTACTTTGTTTGATAATTTGTTTTTGTAGTTCTGCCAGTAAATGTTCCTTCTCTTTTGAATGACCAGATCCTGAGGGGGTAGGGTCGGATGATGTACAAGAGTCTAGATCATGCCTTTGCTTTTCCTTGGTGACATTCTTTAAAGGTGATTTCGGTATTTTCTTTAGGTGGTTTTCGGTTACTATTTTTTTCCTCTTCACACCTTTGACAGTATCAGAGCAACTTCTGGAGCCAAAAGTAACAATTTCTATAATATAAAAGAAAAAATTATCTTAAATATAATATTAACAAAATGAGAGATCAGGTTATTCTTTTGCTTTTTTTCTACAATAAAGAAAAAATACATTTGCAATACTCTAACAATAATTATACTAACAAAAGTGAAATAATGCTTGGTTGTCTTAAGTTCTCTAATTCATGCAGCCAGAACCTGCAAGTTAAATCAAAACTCCTGATCTGCATACTTGTTCTGGGCCAGTATCAGATTCGCATAGGAGACAGCCACATTTCTCTGGACAAGTTTCCTTCAAATATGTATGGGGCAACACAGTGGCGTAGTGGTTAGTATGTCTGCTGCTAGTTCAAATCCCGGTCAGGACACTATCTGCAAGGAGTGTGCATGTTCTCCCTTTGCTTGTGTGGGTTTCCCCCGGGTACTCCGGTCCCCCCCCCCTCCAAAGAGTAAATGTAAAATTATTTTGCTAATGCAGTGCATTTAGAGCCATAGCCATAAGCCTCCTTTTACATATTTTCAAAGTTTGCTTTAGTGTCCATCCAATAGTGCCAGTTTTCCCGTAGGATTTTTTTAGGAACCCATTTTAACCCAGGAGGTCTCTCTCCTTCCATCTATGATCCAGGATCCTCAATAACTTTCTGTAACTCTCTTTTGCACATGTACAAAAGATGGAAGTTTCAATTGCTATATTTTGTGATATACCGCTAAAGCTTGTACCCTTGCCACCAGTGGGTTCTGTTTCTTACAGCCACTAAAATTGCATGCATTTCTTCCTATTTAACTAGGAGTAATTAACAAATATTTGCAAGGTTAATTGGCTTCTGTCTAAATTGGCCCTGTATGTATGCATGTGAGATAGGGACCTTAGATTGTAAGCTCCCTGAGGGCAGGGACTGACGTGCATATGCACTATGTAGAGTGTGGCGTAAATTGTCCGTGCTATATAAATACCAATAAGAAATTAAACAGTATTATATCTTGACTGGTTCCTTTTTAATACATATACAAGTGCAGAAATTATGGCAAAATGGTAATTTTTTGTTATCCACAGCTGTGGATAAGGGCAGACCGCTATATCTATATACTCCCCCTTGACAAGAAAAGCATAGTTTCCTATTGGTCATAGACAATGCTTCAAAGGCAGAAGAAATATGCATTTAATAATTAGAGATCTGATTATTACAGAATGTCATACAGTAAAAAAACAACAACAAAAACATTTATATTTCCATTTCATTGATCTAAAAAAAGAACAATATTGACTTTAACAGCTGGACTAAGACTTAATTAATAGATTCACAAATACACAAGTTTTCCTTTTAATTCCATAGAAACTCACATATCAGATTAAGATTTCTAAAAGCCAGACTGTTATGGTTTTCAGATCACATTTAATGTTAATATTTAGAAGCAGGTTTTGCAAGTACTGCAACTATAAATTAAATGGAATAACCCAGTGGTACCCATGTACCTGAATAATCAAGTAAACTGGACCAATAGGGAGAAGTGGGAGTGAAGTCACTCTGCACAATAGAGCATCACAGTACCTCTTTGTGCCTGCATTTTCTTTATAATACCAGCTTAGCCATCACAAGTTTACCTTTAGAGAACACCATTAATGTTGGAAATGAATCATAATCCCACGGCTGGCGTCATACTTTCCTTTAATTATTAGAAAATGTAAATTAAATTATGATTCTTTTAATGCAATCAGGAAATCTCTGTTTACATATCAGTGGATAGCATCATGGCTACTTTCTGACAGCAGTATACAGCACTTGGCACAACCAAAGTATTCTGAAGAGCGAAACTGTTACAATACCCAATCTACATCCATTTTTGCTGTTTAATGAAAGCAATTCCCACCTGGTAAGTCACTTGCTTCATACCTTATGAGTTACATGAACAGCCCAGTGCTGTAATAAACAAAAATGCTAGTAACAACAGCAAACTTGTTATATGAACAGGAATTTCTGGAGGAGTTCTGTATGCCAACAAACAAATCACCTCTATCCATGGAAGCCATGTTTGAATTTTTTGACCGTTTTAGAAAATTAAAGCTGTAGTGGATTGATGTAGAAATGCATTTATTAGCATGAAACTATAAAAAGGCTTGAGAAGCAAAACTACTGGCTCTTTAATTTTAAGGGTGTCCTCACTGAACAAAAGGGATACTTGAGAGTCCAGTGGGACTGGATAAAAGGCAACCTTTTAAGGAAAAGTCAAGATTTCCATATAATGTCAGATAGCTAATGCAGTACTTGAAATCCCAACTTAATCTTATCCTTTTACTTAACAAAGGGGGAATTCCGCTATTTAATTTTTATTGTCTACTCATGCAGTAAATGGAAAATTGTTTTGCTAATGCAATGCATTTAAAGCCATAAGCCTCAGAGTCATTTTTATTTTTGCAGATTTTCAAAGTTTTCTTTATTGTCCATCCAATAGTGCCAGTTTTTCCAAAAGTGTTTTGTAACTCTTTTTTGCACATGTACAAAGATTGCAAGCTTCAATTTCTATATTTTGTTATATACAGCTAAAGCTTCTACCCTTGCCACCAGTGGGTTCTGTTTCTTACAGCCACACAAATTGCATGCATTTCTTCCTATTTACCTAGAAGTAATCTAACAAATATTTGCAAGCAAAGGTACGGGCATAGAAAGTTGGAACCGAGGAGTGCGGGACCTTTACCAGGATTAGGAGTTCAAACTAGGCAAACTATTCCCACACCCTCCCCCCTAATTTCCACCCATGATGCTTTTCTACTAACTGTTTTTGGTTTTTTTAATTGAGCAGAAGCACCCTTTAACTTCCATTCTGACAGGACATCAACACTAGCCCAGTGCAACTACTATACAAGAGCAGCAGTTCATTGAACAAAGTGGATAGCAAAGCTCAATGCTGTCTTTGGTTTAACCAGGCTGTAACTAATGATGTTTATGATGACTGCTGGGCAATTCCTGGTGGAAAGGTATACTTGATCTTTCCCCAATGCATTAATATTGGAGAATGAAAAGAATTCCACATGTGACACTACATCAGAGGATGTGTGAGAGCACACTGGTAATTATGAAATATAGCATATGTATTTTCATATGCTGCCAGAAGGGGATGATCAGGGCTCATCTGCACATTTTTCAGGCTCTCCTTATATGCTCTGTTACAAATAGCTGCTAAAAGGGCTCAACTGTTTAAACTAAAATTTACACACACAAGTAAATGGGTCAGAGCAGTAACTTATCCCCTTCACTGGCTGCCTTTACAGAAAGCTAAGTTTTACTCAGAGTTCTATAGAAAACACTTTTGCTTTTCTCCCTTCTTTGAAGAAATAGCCCAGAAGTCTGAGGGAATCCTGTGGCATGGGTGCATCCTATATTAAATGTTAATTTGTAAATGCAGAAAACGTTATTTCATTTTGTCTGCACCACAATTGCTGAGACATGGCATGTTTTACACAATAGTGAGTGTGAAGTAAAAGACTCTCACCCAATAACCCAATAACCAACAACTTAGGAACCATCAGAGGAGTAGAAACTTGTCAACCATGAGAAACTGCTAGTTAATCAAACTTGTTTTGCTGGCAATCACCAAGTAGAATTCCAGCCAAAGCATTTTCTCAGTTTGCAAAGATAGGGTAAGATTAGATCCTCTATGAGATTTGTATTGCTGTCTGTATGCCCTTGCAGAGAGATCTCCCCACTTTTAGTCCCGGTGGCATAACTGGAAATCTCCCAAAAGGAAGGGTTACTCATGTATAACACCTACAAAAAGGTGTCATCAGAAGTGATTTCCATACTCTTCCTTTTCATAGTAACAGCTGTCAGCAGTGGTATTTCCCCTAACTTTCTTTCCTGGTGACATATGAAATAAGCACAGAAAGTACAGGCAAATTTAATTCATGGGTACACAGGGGGTACTAAACAAAAACCTGACAGAGGATGTAACCCTTCCCTACTCAATCCAAGAAAATAATAGAGTTGCACTTTAATGTCTTCACAGAGAGAAACAATATGTAAGCCCAAATTGCAAATTACTTTTAGAACACTATTAATACCATTCCCAAATATGTCATGTTTCCATATCTACTTGTAACTTGACAAGTACAGTATGTACATGTCATCTTAGTGCAGCTTACGGTTTTAGGGTATCAGCCATTTTAAGCTGGAAAAGGCTTTATAGAAGCTGCCCACATTGTCTTACAGTTTGAAGTATAACCAGGAAACCAGCTGTGTATAGAATCTGAAAAGAGAAATCTGAAAACTGTTTTGTTTTTTTTTTAAATGAAAAGTAATTTGGGGCAAAAAAAAAAAATCGATGGTAAAAATTGTAATGTCTAAAGAGAATCATAACAACCTGAAAGCATTTGCAGAAATGTTTTTAAGGATTATCAAGCAGAAACGCTGTTGATGTTAAATACTTGTATGTAATGTCTTTAGCATGCATTACGAATACAGAAAATAAAATGATTTTAAGTATGCAGCAATCAACCTAAAAATTCACAGGAGGGCAGGCAACAGGGATGTTAATATTTACGACTGGCAGGTATAATTCTAGATTTGTACATTATGACATACAAATACACATATGCTCTAGAAACTGATCTATCAATATTATTGCTGCCTGACTCAGGTTAATCTATACATTTGCGTAAAAAGAAAAAGTCTATTCCATAGGGTATACAATGCTTCTGCCTACGCTTTGTATTTGCGAGACAAACACAAATGACAATTTAATGAACTAGGTAGCTAGTATAGCTTTATTTGCTTCCTGAGACGCACTGAAACTATCTTCATTAACTACGTAGAAATTGTATACAGTAATAAACTAAAGAAGATAACACAATGATGCTCTGCAGTCAAAAAGCATTAAGAGAAGACAGAGTATTTGTGGCAATGTTCTGCAGTAGATCTATTCAAGTGGTCATTTCAAATGTTTGAGATATGGTGCTGAAAATCCTTAACTGTTGGTGCTACATTTATCAGTCTTCACTCAATGGAGAAAGCAGGAAATAA